GTTCTAGATTTGATGACTGGATTTATTGGCACTACTTTGCAATTACAGTTAATTATAAATGTTCACAGTCAATGACTTTCGAAGGCTGGCTCCATTCCTTACTGCACTGCGAGTGTCTTCTCCACTGTGAAGACTGATGAATGTGAACCTCTCCCGAAGAATTCTGCTAAGCGTTATCACGTGTCCTCCCGTTATAACTTCGGGAAGCACCGAATAGAGACCACCACCTAGAACAGTTCACGTTACTGCGTGCATATTCGTTGTAACGGAAACGTATGTTGCGACTTGCTATCTAGCAACGGAGGACCTTCCACAGTTGACTGCGTAACATATGAACGTGTTAACCGAAGCGTTGTCTAGCAACTGTTTAATCCGTCACAATGTTCCTTGGTCCTCTTATTACACTGGAATTACACAATCTCCGTCTGGCCGGTTTACAGCCGAGATAATTAACTGTCAGTTACTGAAACCAATTGGGGAATGTGTTACTGTCTCTCTTACGTAAGATTCATTTTAGTTTCTGAAAGCATTATTACGGTTACCTTATTTATGAGTTATTTAACAACGATATCATCAGCTGAGTCCACACAGCGTGGACTGAAAGGTTGGTTAGTGAATAACTTATGGCAAAGGATGTAAAATGAAACGGTAGCGGTTTAATTTACCTAGACGGACCTAGGGAAAACATGAAAATGTGTAAGGATAGCCGGTTTCTGGGCTGAAAATCGAACTCGGAACCTCCAAAATAAGAGCAAGGAGTTTTAAACATTCAATACCGATATTCGTGCAAACAGCACAAAACATCCTGAAATTAATTCAAGTTATATTACAATTACGCTATTTCTTAAGACTCTTTCCTGACTTCCCCCTTCGTTGGTGCCTCCACCTTATCGTGGTGAGAGGGTTTGAGTATGCCAAGGACCCTGAGAGCGTAGCTACTGGCAGGGCCTCCTTTGCTGGACAGGTCAAAGGGTAGGCATCAGGCGAAGAGGGATACCAAAAACCAAAAACTGATGCCGGAAGCAGTGTCATCAGCAGCGACTTGAAGCACAGAGCAAATGATGCTCGAGATGGTTCAAGTTCGTATAGCAACAGGCGTGACCAGAGTGGTTTGAACGGCTGTTGTACTGCGATGTGGAAAGCAAATGGAAAAACTACCATATTATCACTTTTCCTGGATAGTCTCTTTCCAAAAACAGAGACACCACGTATGTGAACCAGAAGACGTAAGAAGATGCTGGATGACCTTGGGGACAGAAGAGGATGTTCTTATTTGAAGGAGAAAGCTCTAGATCTCATTAAATGGAGGAATTGTTTTGGAAGAGACTGTGGACCTGTCGTCTGACAGATTACTGATGAATGAATTCCTGACTTCCTCTCAACTGCAGAGTTCAATATGACCATGGAGGAAAAGTAGGCCTACATATGGATTTGTAAGGAGACAGCAATGGTCTATTGGAAGATACTGTCATGGTTATCTGTTGGAAAGTCTGAGCCATATTACCTCAATCAGGATGGACTGGCCGAGATTCAAATCTGCACCACCCAAATACAAATAAAATGTAACCCCTGCACCACATCCAATTTCATAATTAAAAATATTCAGCCTCTGTCGTTGTTCTGCTGTTAAAAATGAGGCTCAAGGCCAAGCTCAAAAGTGAGCACACGTCTTCATGCTATCTACCTATCTATCTGTCTATCTATCTATCTGTCTATCTGTCTGTCTACCTATCTACCTATCTGNTCTATCTATCTATCTATCTATCTATCTATCTATCTATCTATCTATCTATGGCTGTACATCCCTTTTGTTGGACCTTGGCCGCTTTTTCAGTTCTTTGATCTTTTACACAGTCGGTAGGACTCCTTGGGGATCAGCCCGTCGCAAGGCTGCAATCTAGATACAGAACACAAGCACAGAATAAACGCACACATACATGCCTTGAGTTGGATTCCAACCCACGAACCCAGCGTTCGAGCGTGCGAGCCTTAGACCGCGCGGCCACTGTGACCGGTCAATCACAACGCCATCACGCATTGAAACTGCCATGTTCATATCAGGATGACAGAAGAGAGTAGACAAATGGATTACTGTAGTGGGGGTAACAAATTCATGATGTCTGCTAAAATAATCTGGAAACCAAAACAGATTTATTCATAAAGACCTCCTACTGATTCTTCATACCCTCTCTTGCGGTGGGCTGTAAATAACAGCGCAGCGACTGCCGGCTGGCTGGCCCGGACCACTGCGGCGATAGTCCATGTAACGATTATTACCACGAACTGATGGGACGCTTTTAAAACAGATAGCCACAGACTTTTCTTTGATCACCGTAACAACCAGCAGCAGCAGCAGCAGCCCTCCCCTTCCCTTCTCCATATTTGTGTCCCATCAACTCCAAGCCGCAACCATGCACTTTGTTCGAAGCTCATTTGAAAATTCTTTCATCACATGTCGGCAGATCAAACTGAAGCAACGTCATGAGTCAGAGGGAGGCGTACTGTCAGAGCTCGACTCAAAACAGGCACACTCTGACTGTTTTCGAAGAGACAGGAATTGACAATATTCACCACGCTTGTACACACGGCTGCTCTATCTAATGGACAAAGTGGACAGCTACTCAGGATCTGCTGATTTTATGTACCCCCACCGCGGGACAGTCGGTATAATGTGGCTGACTTTCCCAGACTACTTCTATACACATCAAGAATACATTTTCGGCTACTTTGTCTGTGATATGAAAAAGTTTACCGTTATTAAACCAAATGCATCTAATATTTAAATGTATAAAACGTGATGTATTTTGTTTTAAAACAACTTTTAATCTCAGAAAACGTTTGGATTGCCTAGGCGTTTTTTATATTTTTTCCTATACGTCTTGCTCTTCTCAAAGCAACTAAATTTTGTACTGGTATTAAATTGAAAGAAAACGTAAGAAGGTAAAGTTATCCCTGTGTTTAACTAATTTAGCACTACACCATGAGGACGTATGGGGGAGTGGATGTACAGATCCTCGTTTTCTTGACCTCGGCAATAGTAGGATGTGAGTGATCAGCTTCAGCCCTGGTCGCATTACCCCCGGTACCCATTGAAAATGAGGTTGAGTGAACCCCAAACCGCTCTAGACGTTGCAGAAGAGGAGAAAGGTCGTTTCATTTTTTAGAATTAGCATTAAACGGTAAATGCAGTGCAGAATAATTTAACCGCTGAAAGAAAAGGAAAGAAAAAACTAGCGATAAATACAGGTCAAAACAGTTACCGTTCAGTAACATAGAATTATGAATTTGTGGCTTCGGATTTTGATCATAAATACATGGGTTACGTTCAAATTATTTCCTTCATCCACAAGCACCTACGTATACCAAACAACAGACAAACATCTGAAGAGCTCTAACAAACCGGGATAAAACCAATGTCACGACAAATACTGGTTCCAATGATCAATGCTTTTACAGTGAACAGTGAAATGATGCTCCTCATGCCCCTCTCCGCCATTTCTCTGCTTGCGAAATAGTCCCATTCTCTTATCAAATAAACAAGAAATTATATGTGAGAGTATCTTTACTTATTTTCTTATAAATAAAGACACTTTCTATGTACATACAATATTGTAACGGATTTGATCAACGCGTTGGCAGGCAACGGCTCTGCAAACACGATCCAATATGCAACAGTAGAAGAGGCTGTGTTTTCCGTGTTCGCGGTGACGTCACGAAGCGGTGGGTGGTGGTCACGTGACATGTGTTTCCTGTGATGCGTGTTCGTTCATCGGCTATACATATAAGTGACATAATTCGGTCGGTTCAGGGACGAGTCAGTTCTCGGTAGGAGATAGCCACGGAATTTCGTAGTTGAAGTAGCTTACAAGAAGTGAGCCTGTGAAGATTTGACCTGTGATTTGAAGACTTTATGTGTGCTGTAGTAGAGTGGTATTGAGAGTGTGTGATTTAGTGAGAGTTTTGTATTTCCTTTGTTATAATTCCTGAAGACTAACGCAGGTAGACTGAGAAGATTATTGAGGAGTGATTGTAAATTGTTGAAATCAGCAATATTTTTGGAATGATTTTGTAGTTACGACCTGTAAGTATCCAGTAAATCATATTGCCAATCCAAACCCGTGTCTCAGTCACTGTGATACGTGACAATATGTACCAATAAACATACTTGTGTTTATACAGTGTACGTATATTTGCCCTCAAAAAGTGCGTAGTTACTCCCCAATATTTGACAGATGGGGTTAGTGGTCAATCGACCCCGATGAATCACTCGATGACACATGCTCGTCCTTTTGACGTCTTCCATACAGGTACTTATAAAAGCAGATGGGTTTATGTATGTTTTCTTTCGCTCACATGAGACGCAGACCTCAAGAAGAAAGCTGAAATAACGTAGTACGTAGCAAGAGAGACATTTATCTAAAGCGTAATGTAACAAACTGTATATTTCTGCAGACAATAACAATACACTATAAATAACGTATCAGAAGACTATTTCTAGACCGGAGGGACTATTTCCTTGAAATAACTCCTCAATTATCCTTACGAGGGTAAGTGGATCCCGTTCAAGACCCACTACTTCTCAGGAAATCTGGTAGCGTCGGGAATCGAACCCAGGACCTCTGGTTCTGTAACCAGAAACTCTGACCACTAGACCACAGAGTCGGCCAAGATTAACGGCCGTGGGGATCCGTTACGTTGGCCACGTGGCACCCTATATCCGCACTAACTTTGCCGAGAAGCGGCAGTCGCTCGGTCGGTATAGTTAGCTTTCTGACTACAGGCCAGGGAGATTTTTATCAGAAGATTTTACTTTGTATTTTAATGGACATTACACCAGAGTTCTCACAAAGCAAATTCATAGCTCAAGTGTCCATACATATATACAGACTCGGGTGTATCAAGAAGCAAAACTGTGAACGGTAAATTTACTTGATCTCTGTATCTAGGAGTGCCACTGAACCAGGAACTGCATCTGCTTCACTTTGTGGGGTCGCACTCACCTCCTCGCCTTTGATGTCTCTATAGCGCACCCACTTCCCCAGGCGCGGTCGCCAGTACTCCAACAAGTACGCCTCGGCAAATTCAACACCTTGCCCATTGCCGAACCTGCCTTGTGTCTCAGTGGCTGTGATAACATGGACAGAGTGGAGGTCAATCTCCAGCCATTCCTTCGGCTCTGTCGTGATTTGATTCTTGGGGCACCAGGCACCTCCATGGCTCTCAGTCCGCAGGCTAAAACAAATAAAAATGTGCTTTAGAACCAATTGTCACTTCAGCTTTATGCCAACGTGAATGTACGAGTAATACAGAAGATTAGAAGAATGCAGGCTTATACATGATTCCAACTCTCCCTCAACAAGAAATATATTAATTAAATTATTAACCGTCTTTCATGTATGGAAAAAAATATGTATTTGAGGAAGGCTGTGTACTTGTGTCTTATTCTAGAAAACGTCGGGGAGAATAAATAATTTATTTTAAGAATGCCGTCTTCGGGGATGTGGCGCCGTGTAGATCCTGTGTGAACCGACGTTTCGGGGAACATATCGCCTCCGTCTTCAGAGTAGCTGCAGCCACCTGCTCAGGCATGTCTCTCGCTCGCGGATTTTTCTATCCTGAAGATTGAGGCCATATGTTCTCCGAAACGTCGGTTCACACGGGATCTACATGGCGCCACATCCCTGAAGACGGCATTCTTCATACTTATAGTCACCGCCGTGAAAACCTCAAATCTTATAATTTATTTTAAACGTATCTAAAAATATACGTGAACAAATCCACTGGTCCCCAATATGGAGTGCACATAAAAAAACCGCATATATGAAACATATAGCAAATGAGTTATAAATATGTAATTAATGTAGCATCAATGAGTTGCATCCGATACCTTACGAATCTATTACTACTTACAACAGCTTTAAGCTTGTTGAAATTACGTGATATGATTAAAAACGAACTTCGTCAAAAGTACCTAACAAAATGTTTTGGAAAGAGAGCTCTAAGTATGCAGACACTACATTCGGTTCAATAATAATAATAATAATAATAATCACTAAGTGGTCTTGCTATCTAGAGGAACACTTTCGGCAAATGTACGCAATACAATTCTGAATTAAGCATATCTTCTACAACTACCACTTTGTGCTCCATTCCTAACTACTACCAGCTGTGACTGTACCATACATAAAGACAGGTAATGACGCATTAACAAATTTTATTCTTTTATGTACTAGGATCACAGTGTAAGGGATGTCTCAATACGTTTCTCATATATAAGTAATATCCTCAGAGTTCCTTTCCCGTCTGTCACAAAATTATAAATGATCAAAATGAACATATACTTATTCAGAGAGCCTCAACAGAAGTTCTCAACAATTCCCTTGCGAATATCTGAAACGAATTATGACAGAAATTTCCACGGCTATGCAATGCATCTGGCATATATTAATAATTCAAATGACCCCATTTTCAAGTTGCACCGTACAACACAAGGAAGCCCCTTTATGGCCAGACGTCAGCTGTTTTTGAAGCAACATTTTCGCCGCATACACTTAATTGAAAAAGTTTTTGGACAGGAGCCCGTGAGAGTGCGTTCTGAAATTTGTTAACACGTCCAGGCAACACGAGTGGAAGGCCTGTCTAACACGTTGCCTCGCTTGAGTCTTCAAATGAACACTGAGTCAATCCTAAGGCAGTGTAATAATGAGAGGGCTTCATGATGGAAACCTGGCTTCTAAAACTATGAAAATTTATACCCAAGGTAGCTAACACTTTGCCAGACACTGCCCATTATTGCCTCACGTCCCTTACGAAGGATCTGTCTAAAGCTCTGGTAGGAAGGAATTTAAATTGAAATTATGAAGCGTGGTATTAAACTATGATTCAGTCTAGAACCCTCTGTCTTCTCGTCTGCTGCCTAAAAGACATAAAAATTAGAATATACAAGACTATAATTTTACCTGTAGTTCTGTATGGGTGTGAAACTTGGTGTCTGACATTAAGGGAGGAACACAGACTGAGGGTGTTTGAGGACAATATTTGGACCGAAGAAAGATGAAGTGACAGGAGGTTGGAGAAAACTGCATAATGAGGAACTTCGTAAATTGTACTATTCTCCAAGTATAATTAGAATGATCAAGTCAAGGAAGATGAGATGGGCAGGGCATGTAGCACGAACGGGGGAGAAGATGAATGCATATAGGATATTGGTGGGAAAGCCAGAAGGAAAGAGACCACTGGGAAGACTAAGACGTAGGGGATGGACAATATTAAAATGTATCTTGCAGAGATAGGATGGGATGGTGTGGATTGGATTGATCAGACTCAGGATAGGGACCAGTGGAGGGCTCTTGTGAACACGGTAATGAACCTTCGGGTTCCATAAAATTCTGGGAAATTCTTGAGTAGCTGCAGAATGGCCGCTCCTTAAGAAGGGCTCAGATCCATGAGTGAGTGAGTGAGGGGCATTAAAATTTGGAAACGTCTACATAGGCTTTATTTCAAATATGCTGCTTACTAATTACGTAATGTTGGAGAAAAAGCAGATGCATGTGAACTCATTTTCATGGAAAACACACTTGAAAATGACAATCAACACAGCGCTGGTATTTGTAGGAACTTCAACATGACATCCGACATTATCCAGGTATATGAAGACACGTGGACAAAACAAAGGACGTGTGTATTACGAAGAAGACAGTTGAAGGATGTCCTACTACAGTTCAAGTACACTATATGAAATTTATTATAAACTACATTACGCATTTAAAATCTTATTACATTTACTGCAACACTGTATATATACTGAAGCTCTTATAATGACTTCGTATATAACTAATCAATTTTCTATTATCTAAAGCTATTTTACCGAGCGAGTTGTACCAGAAACTCTGTAGACTAGTATTCGGCAGAATTTCGGTTCAAAACATGGTCAAGACATTAGCTAATCCTGATTCAGGTATTTCCTGGTATTCCTCAGATCCTCTACGCAAATTCTGGGATAGTACCAAGATTAGAACGAGATAATTTTCTTATAATAATTTCAAATTCATCATTCATCACTCTTCCTAACATTACACGCTATATACAGGGTGTCCCAGGAAGATAGATAAACATTCCGGGAGGTCACAGTGTCGGTCATTCTGAGCAAACAGTTTTTATGTACATGTGTCCTATTCCTAACGGTTTCCGAGATAGAGAAAATATATTATACTAGGTAAACTGTGAACCTTTTGTCATTTGAGCAATAAATACAAATAAATACAAACATCACGTAATATATCTCTTTTCTCATCAACAGTTTTGAAACACAATGAAACAACTCTATCTTCGAAAACCGTTCGGATTAGAAAACAAATCCTTGGTGTTAGTCCGCAAGCGAACTATACCGATCGAGCGACCGCCGCTTGTCGGCGGAGTTAGTGCCAAATTTAGCGGATAGACGGTGTCGCGTGGTCAGCGCAACGAATCTCCACGTCCATTAATTTCGGTTTTCTAGACCTGAGCCGCTATTTCCTTGAAATATCTAGCCAATTATCCTCATGAGGCTGAGTGGCCCCGTTCCAGACCCACTACTTCTCAGAAAAAGTGGTTGTGGCGTGAATCGAACTCGGACCTCTGGATCTGTAGCCAGGAACTCTGACCACGAGACCATAGAGGTTGCCTTCGGAATAGGACATATGTGCATATACACTTTGTTGCTTAGAATGACCGATTCTTTGACCTCCCAGAATATTGGCCTTTCCTCCTGGGCATTCTGTATTTCTAGCTACTGATGGTGTCGACAACCCACACAAAGATAATAAACTGTTTTCTCGATTCCTAAATCGTAAATATTTCAGATCTTAGTATACCGTTTATAAGATTGGGAAAATAGTATACAAACTTCATAAAGTAAAACCTGAAGATATCACCATTAATGTTATCCTCATGATTTAAATTTTAATCGTCCCTCTTCTGTTTCAGGACTCCAACAGGACCTAGCAAGTAACATTTCCCTTCATAACCCTGCTCCGAAGATGGGCAGTCACACTCAGCAGCACCGAATATCTTAAAACGATTAGAGGGGTCTCCTCACTCATGAATCGCTACTAAGGCTGGGAGGGGGGGGCTGGTATGTCTAATCAGAAGACAGGAAACCTGCAACATGGCTGGCTGTCCCTTCGTAACCTAGAGAGTACATACCACATATCACAATGTCAACAAACCTCCCCCGACAGGAACTTCTCCACATGGGCCAACTTTGCGTCTTACGCAACCAGCCACACCCTCAAGTTAATTACATTGCATACCTAACAAGGCTGCTCCTGTAGCTGCTCCTTATTTTCTTCTGGGACTTTCCGCTTCCGTTCATGCTATAATAATTTTCTTAACCTCAAGCTCTACGCAGAAATAATTTGTGCGCGGCATAAAGAGGTCATGGTCGGTCACGGTAGCCGAGCGGTCTAAGGCACGCACTGTCTTCGCTCGTTCGGAAGCCGGTATCGTGGGTTCGAATCCCACTCAGAGCATGGATGTTTGTGTGCGTTTTTCTGTGTTTGTGTGCGACGAGCTGATCTCCTGCCCAAGGAGTCCTACCATATGTCTAAGATCTAGTAAAAAACCGAAGTGAAACGGAGTTTCATGGAGGTAGGCCTAGGCCCAAATGAGGGCTGTAGCGCCAATGAAAAAAGAGATCATGTGTCCCTGTGCCTAACTAATTAAGCACTACGCCATGAAAACGTATGGGGAAGTTGATGTATAAATCCACGTACGGGTATCCTTGACCTCGGCATTAGTTGGAGGTGAGTTGTCAGTTTCACGACCCAACCGCTTTAACTCTTGAACTAGTACCCCGGTATCCATTGGAGTGGAGGCTGAGTGGGCTCCAGAACCAGTCTGGACGACGTGAAGAAGAGAAAAATCTTGTCCCTACCAGGACTCGAACTCCGTCCCCTCAGCCGTCCAGCCCATAGCCAGTCGCTATACCGGCTATGCTATCCTGGCTCCATGTTCATTGCACGCTAGCTAAATATGATTAAATGCGCTGAGTTTATATGTGCTACAAACCAGGGTACGTTGTTTCCTGAGTAGACAACCTTCGGGAAGAAAAGTCCTGTGTAAGTATACTTTCTACAGGTGTAAGGATTCGGCAGGTATGGTGAAAATATAAACTTTCTAATGATGACGTAACGGTCTACGTCACTAAGTGGCGATGACACACACTCGTTCCCCTAGCAGATGCAGCGCGAAAG